AGCCAAATGAAAACTGTTCGAAACTATTCCAAAGTAGTTAAACGTAGGCGAGAGAGACTGGCGATGGCTAGGTCGGGCATGTCCTCTTACAGTCTGAGTTGGGAAGAACATAAAAACTGGTCGAAGAGACTCAAAAATACCATGACATTGCCGACAAATCGTACCCCACACGATTGTTCTGCTGTAGTTGAAAATTCCTCCTGCACTTGGAGGGGCATGCCCGACTTAACTCTATGTGGACGGGACGCGGCAGAGGGCAGGGGGCGGAGGGCAGGGGCCTGCTCCCTGCCGGCCCGAAGGGAAAGGAGCCCGCGAGCAGACGGACCTCCGCCGAGTGCTCCCGCCTCCCTGCCGTGCTCTCGGGGGCCCTCCGCGGGGGCGCGGGGGCTGCGGTGGTGAGGGCCTGTCCCGGAGACCCGACGTCGCAAACACATGGCAGCATCGTAAACAAAAACAAACAAAAAAAATAATAATAAACAACAAAAAAAAATCGCGGCCAGACCCCTGGACCCCGTGCCTCTGCGTCGCTTTTCGAGCCAGGTCGACCTGTGAGGGTCCCAGGGCCCGAACTTGAGCGAGAGCGGCCGGCTCAAAAAAAAATTGGGGCCGCCAAGCAGATGCACCACCACCACCACCACCTCCCCTCTCCCATGGAAGGGGGAGAGGAGCAGGAGGACAGGGGAAGGAGGAATCGGCGTGGAGGGGGTGTCGGTCCTTCGGGCCCGCAGCTGTGGTGGTGGTGGTGGCCAGCGCTGGCCCTGTGGGGCCTCCTGGGGGGGGGCCCTCGGCCACGCTCGCCTCGAGGTCCTGGCCGGGACGCGCTGCTGGAAGAGGTCCACAACGCGGGGGGAGCAGAGGCGCAAACACACCTCCTGGCTGGAGGCCTCCGCCCCCGCGTTGCGGGCCTTGTTGCTCCACCCTTCCGCGCGCCGCGGTGCCTCCAAGAGGAAGTTGAGAGGGGTACTGGGCGGCTGCAGAGTACCCTTCGGCGGCGAGCAAGGGCGGGAAGTGGGAAGGAGAAGGCCTTCTCAGAGGGCGGCGGGACCTCTCAGAAGCCCTCGCGCCTTCTGAGAGGCTTTCTGTCTTCGGGGAAGGCTTGGGACACTTCCCAGAAGGCCAGGGGACTTCCGAGCCTTCTGAGAAGGCCTTCTCCTTTTCACGTCCCCCTCGCCCCCCGCCGATCCTCGGTGCCTCCACGACGAAAATGACCTCCTCCTCCTCCTCCTCCTCCTCCTCCTCCTCCTCCTCCTCCTCCTCCTCTTCCTCCTCCTCCTTCTTTCCTCCTCCCCCTCCTCCTCCTCCTCCTCCTCCTCCTCCTCCTCCTCCTCCTCCTCCTCCTCCTCCTCCTCCTCCTCCTCCTCCTCCCTCCTCCTCCTCCTCCTCCCAAAGTATCCCAGCGAAGTGCGCAACCATGAGCAAGCGTGAGTACGCACCGGAAGGCAGGTGGGGCAAGGGAGGGGGATCTCCCGATGAGGCAGCGAAGCGCGTCTGAGGTGCGCCGAAAGGCGCGGGGAGCCGCGTGTGAACGCACCCCTTGGGAGCCAACGTGTGAATGGTGCGCCGAGATGGAAGGGAACCGCTTTTGTCGCAAACGCTGGGGCCTCTTTCAAGTGGAGCTTCCCATGGGGCCACGAAACGTGTCAGCGGTGCACCGAAATGCGCGGGGAGCCGCATGTGGACGCACAATCTGGTGCCTCAGGTGGAGCTCCCTGAGGGGCCACGAAACGTGTGATGGGTGTGCCGATATGGGCTGGGGGACGCTGTGCGATATCACACCCTGGGGCGCCTGGTGGAGTTACCTTTGGGGCCATGAAGCGTGTAAGGAGTGTGCCGAAATTCGCTTGGAGACGCTATGCGGTATCCGCCGACCCCTTGTGGGCCTCTAGGCTGTGAAATGCTTCCCCCCAAGAGGCCCCCAAGACGGTCTAACAGAGCCCCGAGCTGCCGACAGATTAGTCAAACCCGCCAAAGCTTGCTTCCAAACGGACCGAGATGCCCCGAAGATTCCAAGAATTACCCCAACGGGGCCCCAAGAGGCAAAAATCGCCCCTTTCCCTTTGGAAAAAAGAGCAATGTTAGCATGTGCCCCTCTTAGGCTTCCGCAGCGTCGAAGACGGCCCAAGACGGCCCATAAGGCTCCCAAGAGGGCTCCAAAACTGCCAAAGAAGGCACCAAGAAGACGGCCCATGAGGCCCCCAAGACGACGAAAGCCAGCCCCACAACGGCCCCGAGACGGGGCCCAGAGGGGAAACTCGAACAGATATTCCCAGCCTTCGGCCCTAAGAAGTTCTCAAGAAAGTCCCCCACGAGACCCCATCAGCCACCCGAGTGCCCTCTCACCCACAGCCCACGCACGGTGGCGGATGCGGCGAAGGCCATTCGATCTTTGACGGCATGGTTGCTGACCAAGGTCTCGTCCTTCTCTGTCGCACCTTCCTGCTCCTCTTCCTCCTCCCACTCGTCCTCCTCAGCATCAGCATCATCATCATCATCAGCATCATCAGCATCATCATCAGCATCATCATCATCATCAGCATCAGCATCAGCATCAGCATCAGCATCATCATCATCATCATCACCCTAATCATAATAATAATAATAATAATAATAATAATAATAATCGTCATCATCATCATCATCATCATCATCATCATCATCAGCATCATCATCATCAGCATCATCGTCAGCATCATCCTCATCGTCATCATAATCAGCAGCAGCGTATTCGTCGTCGGCGAGGTCGTCATGCTTCCTTTCCTTGGACGCCCCCTAAAACCATATGAAACAATCTACGCTTAGAGAGGGTTTGCCGTTTCCAATATTCATTTAGACATGGACTCTGCTTTGGAGCCAAGATCTGGACAGCGAGTTGCGCCCTCCAGTGTCGAACACATGTTTCGAAATACGCGCCTGCGTTGTGTTCGTCTTCGAGCTCCGTGAATCATACTTGAATATTCGCTGTGGGCCTCATGTTTTTGATATGCCGACGTCAAGATACACAAGGTGTACGACGCGATGTGATTACAACACCCTCCTGCGATTGCCCCAGATAGACGTAACACTGATGAGCCAATCCCACATAACGATGACGTGGTCCAGCTGCTCGAGGTGCCCTGGCTGTGTCGGATCTGCCGGATTGTTGCCCAGATCATGGGAAGCTGGTTTGACTCCTAGACCTGTGTCAAACCATGGATTGGCTATGACAACTTTCACAGCAATGGACACTTCCAACAGTAGCCCTCTACGGGTGGGATCATCCATGGTGCTGCTATAACGTCGCGCTGACTGCGCACATCACCATATCCATATCCGCCGCCCGCCGAGGTCCCCGTGCACTGCGTGGGACCCGCCCTGATCTCATCCGTGGTCCCGCCGCGCCTATGCTGGACACTCCAGACATCCGACGATCCTGGCGTTGCCATCCGCGGCCCCAGAGCTCCCGAGCCCTCTGCCCTGAGGGCTGCAGCTGCTTTCCATCCCGAATCCTCGTCTGATTGCCCCATGGCCATGCAGGGCCGGAGGCATGCAGCTGCCGGAGGCCGAGAGTGAGGAGATGGCGCGCCAGGATGGAGCGGCGACGAATCCAACCATCCGCCAGGCGTCTGCAATGTGGGCCCAACGCTGTCGGTCGGGGGCTTGCTTCTGTGCCCGGGCACGCGCGCCGCAGGCGCAAATGCACGCCCTGCTTGTCGTGCGCCTCGAGTCGCCAGAGCCCTCGTCGGAGAAGGGGCCGCCCGGGCGGCCCCTCCCGCCCGCATCGGACGGGGTCCTGCCCAGTCGGACGGGGCCGCTCGTGCCAGAGGTCGGCGCGAAGGGCACACAGCGGTGACCGGCGGGCGTGCAGAGGAGGAGAGCTAGGGCGCGGTGCATCCTCGACGCCGGGGGACACCAGGCGACAACCACCACCCCGAGGACACAACACGGGGGATGGCATGTGCATCCCAGAACCCTGGAACCAGTTTCGCAGTGGTTCTGGTCGATGTGGCCTCCTCCCCGGACGGCCCACTCGACGCCGACCAGAAGTAAAGTGCTCATGTCGAGGTCGGCGGTTTCTCCCCCGAGGGGCCCTGCCGAAAAACCCACTCAGTTGTGGTTGTGCTTCTTTGTCGTGCCCACCCTGGAGGCACTCCTGCTGGTCGAACCGACCCCGCCACGGATCAACGGCCGCCTCCCGCCCGCCCACCGCATGCAGGGATGAAAGCGAGCCCCGCCCCCGCCACCTGGGGGCATGCGGAGGCCCGCGGAGGTCTCCGTCCGGAGAGGCCCTCCGACCCAGACATCCGGCGGAGACCGATTTCTTCAACCACGGCGGGCGGGTTCTCCTCGGTTTCGGCCTCCGGAGCTGCGTTCGGGCGCCGATGAGTTCAAGCGGATCCGGGACGTAAAACTGCAGACTCTGGAAAAGGCGTCGGGATCTCCTTAGGGCTGCGGAGCGAAAACAAAAATGCCGTCGGATGTAAGGTCCCTGAGGCCCCCGAAGTCGTGGAGGCCTCTGGAGAGCCTCCAGAGGCCTCGTGAGAGCCCCCTGAACAGAGTTCGGAGGGACCAGTCTGAGGCGGCCTTCGCGAGGAGTTCTGGAGGCCCCCGGATGCGGAGGCCTCGAGGCCCCTTCCCGAGGCCCCTTCCCAGAGGCCATCGCGCAAGCATGTTCTGGAGGCCCTCGCGGAGAGTCCCCTGGGAGTCCCTTGGGGGCGGGAGGCGCCCAGGAAGCTCTCGATATATATATATATATATATATATATATATATATATATATATCTCTCCTCGACGGGCGGCCCCCGGCTGCATCGCCCACGTCCTGTGCACACACCTCCCCGGAGGCGACCTCGAAGGCCTCCGGCGGCCCCCCGCCCCTCCCCGAAGAGAGGGCGGCGAGGGTGGGCAAGCGGCCACGCCTGCAGATCCACGTAGGAGCAGCGCCCACGGCCAGCTCCACCGACGCACTCGAGCGGATGGCCATCTGCACCGACGAGGTGAGCCTCGCTATTGCGCGGGGGAGG